AGAGGTGCCAAAAGGGTCAGGACCATACGCCCATGTATGACCTCATTGTAATATTTGTAACCCGGGGTACAAATATCATGGGCTCTCGATGGACTGGACTACAATGATCATGACCGTCCTGATCCATTTCTTCCCGTTTCGTAGTAGGCGCCCAATCCATAAGGAGTTGACAGAATGCGACGATGTGTTGAGCGCGCGCGAAGAGTGCCAATTCTAGCTCCTACTGGTGCAACCCAATTTTGAGGGATTGTCTTCCAGTTTGGGAAAGGAAAGGAAGTCGAAAAAAATCCGGGAGTTCTCCGATCCGATGAGCATCAGCCTCCCGCGGCTCCGCGACTACCCACCCCCCTCGGGCGGCGTGGAAGGTGGCGCCCCCTGCTGCGTGCTGGCGGCGCAAGTGAGAACTACGCAGCCGTGCTCTTACATCCTCCCTCCGCTACGCCATCTTCCCGAAGCCGTGTGGTGGTGGGGATGTGGGGCGGTGTGAGGCGGTGGGGGGAAAACCTCAAGGAAGGAAGAAAATGTAAACAAACGAAACTCACTGTGGTCACCCTGCGGCTCCTGCTTGATGCCCTTCTCCGCCTTGGAGTCGTCCTTGTCGCCGCCGCCCTTGTCGCCGCCGTCCTGCTTGGCCTTGCGCTGGATCTTCTTCATCTTGGCCCGCTGGTTCTGGAACCACACCTGCACCACCCGCACCGACAGGCCAGTGTCCTTGGCCAGCGCCTCGCGCACCTGCGGGAACACGACACCTTTAGTCTCACACTATGCTTTAGCAATATGTCTTATTTGGTAACACTGGTTATGCATAGGTTGGTATCCCGGAAAGGGCCTTTTCGGGCATTCCCTTTCGTGTACCCCGCGTCCGTGTATAGCGTCGGTTCCAGACTGTTGTTGTTTGACTCTTTGTCTGGATTGTGTTGTCTGTGATTGTGTTGTACTGAACTTATCGTGACACCACCTGCTTCGTGTGCGTGTCGGCGTGACTCACCTTTCTGCACGGTTTGGGGCTGACTTCGAAGGACGCCTTGAACTGTCTCCGCTGCGCTGAGGTTAGGATGGTCCGCGGCCGTTTGGGGCCGCGTCGGCCGTCTCTCGGCCGAGAGTTCTCGTCTAGCAGATCCTCGTCTGAAAGAGGCGGAAGAGGAACACAATCAGCGAAAGAAATAACAAGTGATTCTCTTTTGTTCAACTTTAAAAACAATGAGCGAATTCCGTTGCTGTCGCTGGCGGTTGCTTACCGCTCGGGCTGGCCTGCTGCAGGAGGTACATCTCCTTCTCGAAGTCGGGCCGGCAGAAGAGCTGGTTGGCGCGCAGCACGAACTGCTCGCCCTTCTGGAGGGGCTGCAGGCACGCCACGCACGAGAAGCAGTGCAGGTGGAAGACGGCGTGCTGGGCGCGCATCACCAGCTCGTGCGGTAGCACCCGCTCCATGCACCGCGCGCACTTCGCCGCGAACATGCTGAGGAACAACAACAACATACCGGTGAGTTCCTTTTCGTTTTTCTTTTGTGTTTTCCTTCTTCCCTTCCTCCCTTTGTATTTTTTTTTGCCTCGTTCTTGCGTCGAGGGGCTGGCAGGGGTGGTGCTCATTCGCAATGCAGTGATGACCGTCATGTAAATATCGCCGCATCATCGCGAACTCCGCCCCGCCGCCATGCCCCACCAGGCCACCCCCCGCCACGCCCTCGGGGCCTTGCGTTGTTCTTCCCTCTCACTCGCCCTGCCTTTGGCTCCTCCCCTCCCCTTAAATTATTTCTTTTTATTCCCCCGAGACTCCCGGGCGCGGCGGTGGCGGCGGCATCGGCGGCAGAGCGGAGCAGCCAGCATGCTGCCCGCCCGCCTGCCTGCCTGCACGTTGCGGAGGAATTTGTCAAAGGGCGAGAGGGGAAGGGGAGGGGGGGGGGGAGTGAAAGGGGATGGGCGATGGCCTTCCCCGCCAGGAGCCTCTCGCTACCCCACCCCCTTCTCCCCACGGGGTGGTGTGTAGACTCGAAATTACTTATTTGACTTGCCTGCCGTCTGGGCCCCGGCCCGGCCTGCCAGCAGGCAGTACCAGCCCCTTGCCAGAGGACCGGCCCGAACCACCCCACCCTCTCCCTCCCTCCCTCTCTCCTTATCCCTCTCCCGCTCTCTTTTCCCCTCCAATGCGAGGCGCGAGCAGGTCCCATCATGGCGAGGCGCGTCGTCGTGGTGTAGGGCGTAAGTAGCCGGAGGCGCTGCAGGCGTGGCGTGGCAGGGCGTGGCGGGGCGTGGCGGGGCCGAGCTTCTTAAGCTTTCGCCCTCTCTCTAGCCCGCAGGAAATTGGGTTTTGGGGGAGAATGAAACCAAATATCAGCCCAGCGCAACGTGTATATCGGGGGCGCCCCCGAGGCAAGAAGGCGAGTTTTAAGGCGCGCGCAGACATTCCAAAGGGCGCTGACGGTGTCCAGTCTTACACGACAAAAAAAATGATAAGCAGTACGTAGTAGCTAGCTAAATACGGAATAACTTGATATTTAGCCGTTGCTGTTGTTATAAATTAGCTGTGCACAAACGTAATTTTGGCAGCATAGTTTTTAGCTAAATAGCCAGCTAATTTTGATCAAAATGGTTAGCTAATTAATTTATTTATAAATAATTAGCTGCCGCATAGCTAAATAACTAGTTACACTGCATATAACGCTGTAGCCACTATTCTTGTACGTACCGGTCGTAGTCCTGCTTGCAGTAGAGCTTGCCGTCGCGGCAGTAGCACGAGTGGTTGAGGGTGGTGCCGCAGACGAGGCAGGCGAGGCACGACTCGTGCCACGAGCCGGCGCCCACCCGCATGAGGAAGCGGTCGTGGATGCGCCGGCCGCAGCCCTCGCACTGCGGCTGCTGCCCCGGCTGCCCCAGCGGCAGCGGCTGCACCGGCTGCCCGCGCGCGCCCGCGCCCACACCGGCCGACACCGCGCCGTTCTCTGCGGACACACAAAACCAGACCGTATCAGCACCGACAGCAACACGTGCACATTGTGGGTGTACACTCCGACTAGCCAAAGAATGCTCCTGGGCCTTATGTAGCCGCCCATAAGAGCCCGTGCTTTTCCAGAAGCATTCTTTCGCCGGTTCGACTGTACAAGGTAAACGGGCCGGCGAGAAAGTGACAGCAACTGCCTCGTCCTTGAGGACGCCGTAATGGAAGCTTTCACTTCAGTACCGATTTTAACGCCGTTGCCATGCCATGCCACGCAAGCGTGTGGGCGAGTTGCCCATCCGTTCGGGGCCGAAGGCGAGGGTGGACAAACATGTTTGTGCACGTTTGTCCTTCGGGACAAGATTGCTATTAAAACAACAGCAACAAACAACAAGTGCGGGGGCCTCTTGATTAAGCATGGAAGATTTTCCATTTAACAGTTTTTCTTTATCTGTAAATTATTTCGTGAAAAGGCAAAATAGTACAGTAAGTATTTTTGTCGCGTGCTTTGGCGCGCGCTCACAGTATCGGCTGTCGCGGGTGTGCCGCGGCGGGAGCGCCCTCCTCCCCTCCGATATCTATTTATCTTATTTACCTTGTTGTAAGCTGCCCACATTACCCCACGCGCTCCTAAGTGATAACTTGTCTGTAGGCAAACACGGCCTATGCCTCTGTGTATGTGTTAGTGAGGGGATG